AAGAGGCTGGCCTTACCTGGATCTGGGCCTTACCCATTGTACTTCTCCAAATACATTACACTCTCCACAAGAGAACAGGCTATTCACTCTATGAGCTTCTGTTTGCCAGGCCACCTCCTGTCTTGAGAGGACTAACACACTCTATCAGAAAAGCTACCTTAGAAAAATGATTGATCTAGAAAAGGTCTCCCAAAAGACATCCTCTTGGGCCTTAGAAAGGGTCCCTGTTAGCATTTCTAGTCCACTCCACCCCTTCTCTAGGGGGAGATTCAGTTTGAATAAAAGACTAGCGACAAGACAGCCTTAAGCCCAAATGGAAGGGTCCACTAACAGTCATTTTGACCACCCCCACGGCAGTCCAAGTGGAAGGAGTCCCCACGTAGATCCACCATAGTCGGTAAAAAAGGATGCGACATGGGCCAGGGATTTAGCTCAGTGGTGCTGGCGCCTGCCTTGCAAGCACAAGGTCCTGAGTTCAATCCCCAGTACCAAAAAAAAAAAAAAAAAGACTGCGACACCAGAATGGAGGTGTTCCAGAGACCCTCATCACAACACCAAGATCATCTTGACTCAGAGGGGAACCACAGCAAAGTCATCAAAAGACATAAGCTCTGCTCAAGTCACTCTGGGGGCTGATTAGTCTACACACGACAGTAGCCTGAGGATGCCACTATGTATGGGACTACATACCTTTGTTTCTACCTGTGATGAACTGTCATCCCTTGCTTTTAACTGTTTTAGGATTTCTTTCCCTGCTTTTTGCCACAGCCTTTGCTGAGACCGCCCCAGCTGACTGGAATTGGGGCAAAAGGTGTCTGTTAGTCCTCACCTTCCTTTTGTGGGTGCAATGTTTACTGGTATTGGTTGCTTTTACCAGGGGGTCTCATCTCCACTCCAGGAGTGACAAGGAGGGAATAATTCCCGCAGGGACAACCAAAAATTGTGAACCTCTGCCTGCAGGTCACTCAGACAGGAACTTCTGTTATGACTGTTTTGCTTTTCCATACTCACTATGTTTGTTAAAGAGAAGTCATAAAATCCAGTGCCCATAATTTGACTTCACACAAGATCTGTAAGCCTGACAATACCCTACCCATTTGCTGTAACTCAAAGTACCACTTGAGAGTTTAAAATCCTGACTGTGCCTCACACCAGAGACAAATTAGGACCCTTGATAAACAAAACCACAAAATTAAGGCCCACAGAGCTCATGATTTTATTTTTTGATGCTTGTACAGCTATCAATTCCACCTTTAAAGCTAATCAAATATTCTTCCCCAACTACAGGGAGATCCAGCTTCCCTACACATCCTGTGGGGGCATAAACTGGAAAACAGAATAAAAATAATGACAAATATATGTACATCTGGAAAAATAACCCATGGGATTAGTGATCTCTATCCACCAACCAATGGTTACCCCTATTGGTCTTATGTAAAATTGGCCACCTGACAGGTGGGATCTCCTTTAGAAAAAACAAAAGATCCCCTACCCCTTGTGGGCTCTGGACATGTAATCCAGTCACTGTTAATCTCATAGACAGACCCCCCAGGACTCAAAACTGGGAGGAAAACAAAGACTTCAGACTACAGATAAATAGAAAAGGTTATGACCTGGGGATACTGATCTGTATCAAGAGATGTAACCATGACAATTCTGGAGCCTTAAATTCCATGAAAAAAATCACCATAGATAAAAAAAATAGCCTCTTAGGGATGAGGATTTAGCTTCATGGGGTGCTGTGCCTGCCTGGCAAGCACAAGGTCCTGGGTTCAATTTCCAGTATTGAAAAAAAAAAAGCCTCTAGGGCTAAAAAACATCAACCCAGGACTGGGGATTTAGCTCAGTGGCACTTGCTTTGTAAGCTCAAGGTCCTGAGTTCAATACCCAGTACCCCCCCCAAAAAAAATCAATTTATAAAAGATTATATAGGGCCGCGGATTTAGTTCAGTGGTTCTGCCACCTGCCTCACAAGCACAAGGACCTGAGTTCAATTCCTGGTGCCAAAAGAAAAAAGAAAAAAAGATTATGTAATCATAGACATTGATGAGATAAAAATTGATATAAAAGATGAGGCTCTTCAATCAGAGCCTCAAAGAGGGGAATGAGAGAAGAGACCACCCCTCCATATGGAATTGGGCAACTATGCGTTGTGTTATTAGACAACTATGGGTTAACTCTACTATTAGGCAACTATGTTCTTTGTAAAATGTACCTGAGTAGCCATGACAACTTCTGTAATCTGTTACCAAAGGAGTTAGAAAAGTCCTGCCAGAACTCTTTGCTCTCCCCTTCTCCACTGCTCTGCTTTGTGTAAATCCTGCTTGCTCTATTCCCAGGGAAACTCCAATGGAATTAAGCTTCGTAGATGTAAAGAAAAAAAAGATATATAAGAAAGCACAAACTTCTATTCAGGGCTCTCAAGACAGGAGTCACTCGCTGAGCTGCCGCATCATTAAAAGCTGCTTTTGCTCCTATCTTTGTGTTAAAGAGTCGTCTGTCCGAGGTCCTCACTGTTTCCTACTTCAATGTGACCAATTCTTTCTAAGCCATGAATTTGGTTTCCTAAAAATTCTACTTGATCTTAGTTATCTAGGAGCTAGTTGGACACAAAGTCAGGTACAAAGTACCATGAAAAGCATAAACAGTATGACTTCCCTTATTTGGTCCCCATATTTCAGGAACACACAAATATCCAGACTTTTAGATTTTTAGATTTAACTTCCCCAATTCATTTATTCATTCAAGCAGATAAAACATATGGAGGTTCTACTGTGTGCCAAGTAACCTAGATACAAAGATAAGACAAGAATAGTTTAATAAAAAGACAAACAGCTAAAATAAAAAATGTTATGTGCTATAAATAGAAGTATCCAAGAAGTGTTATGGAAGCTTACAAGGGTGTGCCAGGAAAGGCTTCCCAGAAGAGGGTGATGCTTGAACTGAGAAAATGTTACAGAAAACAAACCATGCTTATATGTTAATATTTAAACTATAGTTCTCTGCTGCTTTTATGCACCACTAGTTTGTTATTTTTGCTTTGTCATATAAACAACAGCAAAGTGACAATCTGACTGATGTGAACAGACCAAAGTGGCAACATAGTTAATTTCAATGAATACTGAAGAGTCAAAAATAACTTTATCAAAGCTGGCTGTGATCGTGTATACCTGTAACCCAGCACCCAGGTGGCTGAGGCAGGTGGATTGCCACAAATCCGAGGTCAGCCTGGGCTACACAGTGAGTTCGAGGCCAGCCTGAATTACATAGTGAAACCCTGCCTCAAAAGTAGCTCCGAGTATAGACATGTACTACTATGCACAACTTGGTTTTGCTTTTTAAAGGTCCTAACCTCCACCAAGTATAACATCTGCCACCCAGTTAATAACCGTTTCTTTCTGAATTTCTAAAACCATCCCAGGTGAATAATTACAGCCATTTTCTTTCTTCCAGTTAATTTTCCTTCCATTTATCCTACTACAACACTTCATTCTGAATTGTATACTTGAGAGTCATCGTAAGTTCCAAAGTACAACTACAAAGTGACTGCTGCCTAAATCTTTTTTTTTTTTTTTTGGTATCAGGGATTGAACTCGGTACGTTGCACTTTCAAGGCAGGGGGCGGCACCACTGAGCTAAATCCCCGGTCTTTTTTTTTTTGTACCAGGAATCGAACTCAGGGCCTCGAATTTGCCAGGCAGGTGCTGTGGGGCTGAGCTACATTCCTGGCCCTAAATCCTTTTTTTTTTTTTGAGACACGGTCCTGCTATTCAGGCTGGCCTTGAACTCACAGCGATGCTCCTGCCTCAACCTCCCAAGTGCTGGAATCACAGGGAGCCCCCCACCACGCCCCATAGGCTTCCTAAACCTTGTGAATGCTTCCTGCTGTAATTATTCCAAGGTTGTGGTATCACCCTAACTGGACCACTTTTTCCTTGGAATCCCCAGCAGTTGACAAAAGTCAATTTGAGGGAACGACTCTTTTTTTTGTTTTGTTTTGGTAGTGGGGATGAACTCAGGACGCTGTGTCGCTGAGCTACATCCCCGGGCCGGGAATGACTTTTATAGATTTATTTCCAATACATAACACCGCCGACACTCTTCAACCAACTTTTAAATTTAGTGCTCAAAGTCTAGGTTAGGATATCCCTAATAAAGCGTCTACTTCACCAAAAAGATATGGTAGCAACCAAGTCGGACATGCTACTCTACTTATATCAAATGCCTCTGTACATTTCCCCCCTCACCGCCCACCAAAGAGAATACTCAATAACGGGAGACTGGAACATACACGAAGGGTCGAGTACAAGAAAATTTCTACATTGAGTAAGGAATTCCGGAGTTCGCTAACACTGTCTCTCAGTCACGGTATCTCCATCTATAAAACTTACATAGAAAAACTGAATTAAATATTTTCTAACCTCCTCAAGGCCACAGTAATCCAGGTATCCAATCTTTCTCCTTTACCTTTACGTGAAACATGTAGAAATACCAGAAACGAACCCTTTACACATATGAACCGACCCTAATTCTCAAATACTGTTTTCAAAAGCTAACGAACTTCCGACTTATTCACCCTAACCCTAAGACTTTCCCCACATGCTCCACGAAGAAGTCAAGACAAATAAAGCTCATCGAGCATCAGGGTCAAGGAAATGCCAGGAAACCCCACTAGGATCGCACAAAAATCCGGGGGCTCCCAAACACCACCCAGCGAATGAATGAGGACAACCACGGAAATGGAAGTGCCCTCTGCGTGGGCTGACAAGGGAGACCCCGGACCTGGACCCCACCGGTGAAGATTCCCTTCCAGGGCCTGAAGAGCAGGGCCGCGGGGCCAAGGGTCGCAGGCCCCGCCCTCTCGCTCAGGATGGACGATTCGGGCTAGGGCGGGAGACTTCGGGGCCGAGAGGGCCCGGGACGCCTCACGCACTCTCCCGCCCGAAGGGGAGGAGGAGGCAGCCGGTCCGGGGTCACCGCCGCTCCAGTTCCCGACTTACCGCGGTGCGTTGGGGAAGGTGGAGTGTCCAGAGTAAGGGCTCAGGCCCGTCCGCCACCCACTGCTCAACGAGCAGCGCGCGGCCACCAGGAAACCGTCGCCGCCTCCACCGCCACCGCTACCGACCGCCGCTTCGGGCGCAGAGCGCAGAGGGCCCGACTGCGTCACACGCCGCCCGCCGTCAGAGGCTCGCTCGTGACGCTCCGCCCTCGGCGCCTGCGTATTAGCAGATCAGGCTGCCACTCGGAGTCCTCCCCAGTACTCATTGGGCAAAGAGTCTTTTGAAACCGAATGTAAGAAAGGTCTTTGCCAGAAGAGAAGGGGAAGAGGAGGGGCGTAACGAGTCAGGGGGAGGAAAAAGGGAGAAATGATGGGAGGGACATGGAGTCCCACCTCTCCGCCGTGGCGGTTGGCTGGGAGTGGGTCGTGACGTCACAGAGGGCGCTCGAAGCGGGCTGCTGATTGGCTATACTGGTGTGTACCGGGCGGGGCGGAGGAGAAGAGTGGTGACGCCATACTGAGGCTCCGCCCCCTTTCTTGGAGCGGAGAGACTGGGCTGCAGAAGCTCGGGCCAATCAGAAGGCTGCCCTCGGGATGGCATGGTAACTATTCTACCCTTCCCTTGCCTTGGTCCGCAGGGGTTGATGGGAAGACTTTTTCTTCCGCACCCGGCCCGCACTTTCTGGATAGGACACGTGCGGAGCTGGAGGTCCCTCCGTGGGGCCGGTCGGTCCGCATTGCATGTCTGCGGCTGCTTTGAGGCCTCGAATCCTAACCTGCTTCTCTCCTGACCCATGCTATTCCCAGCACATCCCTTACTACCTGATCTTTAAGATAGACCTGAGCATTAAATAGGCGTCCTAAGAGAATGGTTCGCTTTGGGCCTGATAAAAATGAGGATTTTGGAGCCGGGCATGGTGGCAGACCCCTGTAATTCCAGGGGAGGCTAAGACAGGAAGAGCGCCGCGAGTTTAAGGTCAGCCTGGCCCACGTAGTAAGTTCAAGGCCAGCCTGAACGATGTAGTTAGATCCTGTCTCGAAAAAATAAAACACCTGTAATCCCAGCACTCTGGAGGCAGAGGCAGGAGAATCGCCATAAATTCGAGGCCAGCCTGGGCTACATAGCCAGACCCCACCTCAAAAAAAAAAAAAAATTCTTTTTGGAACGTCTTTCACAGTTGCACTTTGAGAACCCCTACTGATTCTTAAGCACCTGGATTCAAATGTTTCGGCCTTCTGTGGGATACAATTGCCAACCAACCTCTGAAAGAGCTGGGCTAACGGATAGCACTTTATATCTTGTAATTTGTATTCTCTTGTTCTGTGCTGTCTCCTGCACTCTTGGAGGTCAGAGCTATATTTGCATTCTCTTAGTGTCCCTTTCTTCCTGGGGCCTGTATCAAAGCAGAATCCTAGTATTGCAAGCCGGGGGTGGTGGGCGGGGATAATGTTCTAGAACCTAGACATCTTTTAGTGACTGAAGGTCTCAGAAAACAAAGCGTATGCATACTACCTTTACCACTACCACCTCCTCTTGGGATATCAATACAAAGCTGAAATGAGATTTTTCCCAAAACTTAGATGAATTCCTTGCAGTTTTCAGTGATAGAAAGGAATTAAAGACTATTGACTTTATGTTAAAAAAAAAAAAAGTTAAGTGTGCCAGGTGTGGTGGCACACACTTGTAATCCCAGCACTTGGGAGGTGGAGGCTAAAGGATCGAAAGTTCAAAGCCAGCCTGGGCAATTTAGGAGACCTTATCTCAAAATAAAATTAAAAAGAACTGGGGACCTAGCTCAGTGATAGAGCTCTTCACAGAGGCAAGGCGCTGGTTTCATTTCTCAGTGCTCAGAAAAAAAAAAAGTGGTTGTGAGGATGGAATATGATAGTGGACTGAGGAAATTGTACATTTCAAGTGTTCAGTAGATGCTTGAAGAACGAAAAATGTTGACATGTGGATGGCCAAATAGTAAAGCTAGTAAAACTCCTCTGTCCAAACTTCCCTGTTTTCCCACCAATCTCCTTCGCCCTTGCTCTGGATCAAAAGTCATTAGGTTTTTCTGGAAAATTAAAGTACAGTAGCTTCCTCAATGCACTCCTCAAACTGTGATTTCTTGTTCTTTAATCTTCAAACCCAGATATGTTTAAGCTTTTCCCCTACTTATTTCAATGTCCCTAAGGCCAGGCACCATAGTAGGTGAACATGAGAAGTTTGATGTGTAAATGAGTGAATTGTTTTGTTTTGCAGTACTGAGGATCAAACCCAGGCCCTTTGAGTATGGTAGGCAAGTGCTCTACCATTGAGTCACACCCTCCCCTGCCTTTGGTGCCAGGGATTGAGCCTAGGGCCTTCACACTGAGCTACATCCCCATTCCTTTTTTCTTTTGAGACTTGATCTCACTAAATTGCCCCTGGCTGAGTTGGAACTGTTTTTTTGTTGGGTTTTTTTGAGATAGTCTTGCTATGTAGTTCAGGCTGGCCTTAAACTCAAGGCAATCCATCTGCCTCAGCCTTCCAAGTGCTGGGATTACAGATGCATGCAAGCCCTGGGTATAAATCTAGATCCAACTATGCCTTAGTTATATGAACTTGGACAAATTTTCTAATCTCTCTGAACCTCAGTTTCGGTCTGTAAAGTAGAAATAACAGTTTTGCTTGTCTCACAGGGTTGAGAGCCTGAGGAAGGAGATTCAAGTTCTAGGCCAGGCTGGGGAACTTGATGAGACCCAGTCTCAAAAGATAAAAGAGGGGTCCGGGGATTTAGCTCAGTGGTGCTACCACCTGCCTCTCAAGCGCAAGGTCCTGAGTTCGATCCCCGGTACCAAAAAAAAAAAAAGATAAAAGAGGTAGGGAGGTACCATAATGCTAGAGTACCTGCCTAGCACAGGTTCACTCTCCAGTATGAGAAAAAGCAAATATAATACATGTACATATAAAGTGTTTGTCATGGTATTTGGTACACAGTAAATCCTCAATAGTTGATAATATTTTTGCTCTTTCAAAATACCCCAGAGACTTAGCTCAGTGGCACAGTGCCTGCCTGGCAACCATAAGGTCCTGAGTTTGATCCTCGGTACCAAAAAAAAAAAAGCCTCAACCAGATGTGGTGGCACACACCTGTCATCCCAGCACTGTGGAGGCTGAACCAAGAAGGATTGTCATTAGTTCAAGGCCAGCCTGAACTACATATCAAGAAACTCTCTTGAAAAACAACAACAACAAAGTCAAAATTTAAACAATGTACCACAGAATTCCCTTTCTAAGTATTCTAAAACATGGGTTCTGACCCCAAAAAGTGGCTCAGAAACATGTCTTGAACCCAAGCATGCTGCAAGATGGGCATGCCTGTAATTCCAGCACTCTGGGAGGCTGAGATAGAAGGACTGCAAATTCCAGCCCACCCTGGGCAATTAGTGAGATTCTGTCTTTTTTTTTTGGTACCTGGGATCGAACTTGGTTCCTTGTGCTTGTGCAGCAGGCCAGGAAACCACTGAGCTAAATCCTGGCCCAGATTCTGTCTTAAAATAAAAAATAAAAGGGCCAAGATGTAGTTTAATGCAAAAGCCTTGGGTTCAATCTCTAGTACAGAGGGCAGGGGAAGAAAGATGCCTTGAGTGAGTAAGCTGTGTGTACATTCAGTACAGAGTGCTGGGATGTGTGCAGAAGCTGAGACCCTTACAGAGTCCATACTTGTGGGAAGGCTGGAGGAGGACACACCAGATTAGGAATGAATGGTTTAGAGCAGGATGTCCTGTGGCCAGGGTGATTTTGAAGGACCTCATGTTAACTTCTGCTAGGGATGTGCCCCTAGTGCATCATTCCCAAGGATATGTTTCTAAAGCCAGGGCTTCCTGGTCCACAGATTCCTACTCTTAATTCTCATAACATCTGTTTGGATTATCATCATCTTCCTTCTTCCAGTCTAAAGACAAGGAGTTTGAGGCATGTTCACAAGAACTTGCTGAGCAAATTTTGTCTTAGATGCCAGGCATGGTGGCATGTGCCTATAGTCAAAGCATTCAGGAGGCTGAGGGAAGAGGGCTGCTGCAAGTTTGAGATCAGAAGAGAAAAAAGAGAGAGAAAGAAAAGAAACTCTAGACCCAGTAGCAGTCACTCCCCAACCCTTTCCACTCCTAATCCCAGCAACCCATCTTTTCTGTATGGATTTACCTATTGTGAACATGTCATAAAAAAAGAATTTCATAATATGTGGCCTTTGTGTTTGGCCTCTTTCTTTCTTTTTTTAATTATTTATTTATTTTGGGAGGTACCGGGCATGCAACTCAGGACCTTGCACTTGTGAGGCAGGCGCCAGACCTCCCCCCGCGACCCGGTAGCCTAGGCTGATCCCTAACTTTTGGCAATCCTCCTGGCTCAGCCTCCTGAGTGCTGGGAGTGCAGGCATTTTGCCACCATGCCCAGCTAGCTTCTTTTACTTAGCAAAATGCTTTCAAAATGCTTTCTTCTATGTGTATACCATGTATCAGTACTTTGTTTATTTTTATGATTCAGTAATATGTAATATTCCATGTGTGGGTATACCACATTTTGTTTGTCCTTTAGTTAATAGACATTTGGGTTGTTTCCACTTTTTAGCTATTATTAAAAATGCTGTTATGGCCTGGGGATTTAGCTCAGTGGTTCCACTGCCTGCCTCGAAAGCTAAGGACCCGAGTTTGATCCCTGGTACCAAAAAAAAAAAAATGCTGTTATGAACACTTAAGGTTTTTGATTTTTCAATTCTCTCTGTCTCTCTCTTTCTCTCTGTCTCTGACAAGGCCTCACTATGTAGACCAGGCTGGCCTCATACTTATGGAAATCCTCCTGACTCAGCCTCCTGAGTGCTGAGATTATAAGCATGCCCAGTGACTTTTTTTTTTTTTTGGTACCAGGGATTGAACTCAGGTCCTTGTGCTTGGGAGGCAAGCGGCAGAACCACTGAACTTAATCCCTGGCCAGTGACTTTTTTTTTTGTACTGGGGATTGAACTCCAGACCTTGCGCTTTCGAGGCAGGCACCGGAACCACTGAGCTAAATCCCTGGCCCAAGTAACTTTTTTTTTTAATGCTGGGAATTAAACCCAGGCCTCATACTAGGCAAGCACTGTACCACTGAACTATATCCCCAGCCAACAATTCACTATTTTAGAAGTGAACAATTTGAGACTGAGGCAAGAGGATTGCAAGTTTGAGCCTAGTCTTGGCAATTTAGCAACTTAGCAAGACCATCTCAAATTAAAAAATAAAAAATGAGGGGCCGGGGATTTAGCTCAGTGGTTTCACTGCCTGCTGTGCAAGCGCAAGGTCCCGAGTTCGATCCCCTGTGCAAAAACCCCCCAAAAAACAAACAAACAAAAATTAGCTGGGGATGTAGCTCAATGGGGGCTCTGAATTTGATCCCCAGTACCATAAGAAAAAAAAAGTGAACAAATTAGTGGCATTCACTATACAGTATTCACAATGTTCTGCAGCTCTCCTTCTAAACATTTTCATCAATCTAAGCTAGTGATGGTGAGCATTTTAGAGCTTTCAATGATACACACAGCCTACTGCAGCACGCATGCCATAGGTTCACCACCACTGCTCCAAGCAAAACCCCTTATCTACCAAGCAGTATCTGCCTGTTCCCCTCTTCCTCCAGGCACTGAAACCACCAGTCTATGTTCTGTCTCAGTGAATTTATTTATACCGGATATTATATATATAAGAGGAATCATACAGTATATGGCTTTTTGTGCTTGGCTTCTTTCCCCCACCCCACCCCCTGCAGGACCTAGCACTTATGAGGCAGGTGCGGTGCCACTGAGCTAAATCCCCAGCCCTTGGCTTCTTTCACTTAGCATGTTTTCAAAGTTCATCTGGTTTGTGGCATGTTCCAGTGCTTCATTACTTTTCATGGATGAATAGCATCCTATTGTATCGATATATTATAGTTTATCCATTGGCTGGTAAACATTTGGGGTGTTTCTTTTGACTATTAAGAATGTGGCTTCTATGAACATGTGTATACATGTGCCTGTTTGAGTATCTGTTTTCATTTCTTTGGGCTATATACCTACAAGTGGAATTGCAGTCATATGGTAACTCTATATTTAACTTTTCAGGGTCTTCCAGACTGTTTTCCAAAGCCCTTTCTTGCAGTTCTTAAAATTCTGCTCACTTTATCTAAATACTGCCCATCCTTCAAAAATCCTGTTCAATTAAATCAATCCAACAAATATTTTCTGAGCTACTACTGCATCTCTATCTGTGTGCTAGGTTAAAAGATGAAGAAACAAATGAGCCAGGGATTTAGTTCAGTGGTTCCGCTGCCTCCTCGAAAGTGCAAGGCCCCGAGTTGGATCCCCAGTACGAAAAAAAGAAACCAAAACCAAAAAACTCCCAGAGGCAGGTGTGGTGGTGCATACCTATAAACCAAAGAAAAACAATAAACCTTACAGAAAGGTGAGAAAAGGCACTTTATTCCCTCTTGCATGGTGGACTGCCCTTACCCTATAGGGTGTACTTCTTTTCCCACTTTGACTTGGCCCAAAGTTGCTCTATAGAGCCTGTTTCTTGCCTTACCTATAATAAAACTTTGCTACTATGAAAGAAAGTAAGAAAGAAGAGAAAGATAGTCAGGCAACAATTTTGCTCTGTTGTGCTAATAAAGATTCGACAGAAGGTCATCTGATGCAGCCTATGGAGTGGGGAGGTGGGCAGATCATGCACCCTGGGGGAAGATGAGCAAAAAGTTAAGCAAACCTTCACAGAGAAGGAAAGTACAGGAGAATGCAGTATAGAACTTAAAATATGTGATTGCTGGAGCAGAGGATGGTGACATTATGGAGGGTGTTGAATACCACACTAAAGAATTTGCTCTTGATCCTAAAAGCTATGGAGAGTTGCTTAATAATTTATCTGCAACAAGGGAGGGGTGTAGTCAGATTGCATTTTAAGACAGACAATGTGGCTGTAACAGGGAGGATGATGGAGAGACAAGAGATCAAGGAGATGAGTGAAATTGCCCGTAGGAAGCTTTCCTTGACAACTATATCCCATATTCTTTCTCTTCCTCTTATCTGTGCCCCACATCTACACTCTCCCCCCGCCACCACCCCCCCCCCCCCCCCCCCCCCCCCCCCCCCCCCCCCCCCCCCCCCCCCCCGTGCTTGTGGGGAAAGAACATCCCTGGAAACAAAACCTCAGTTGGGTTAGGGATGTGTGGTATGTGTGTGTAGACAGGGATACTGGAGACTGACTGGCTGAAGCTGGAAAGTGGGGATGCTGTTGCAGTCACAGGCTCTCTGGAGTATGTCCAGACACCAGCATACCCACCAGGAGGGCAAGAGACATTAGAAGGCCTCCGTAGCTGTACCAGCTGCATGCAGTGGGAAAATCCCATTCAACAAACACCAAGTGACTACTGAACTCAAGGGAGAGTAGAGGCTTAAACGCCTGCTCTACTTCTTTTTTTTTTTTGGTACCGGGGATCGAATTCGGGTCCTTGCACTTGCGCAGCAGGTGACAAAACCACTGAGATAAATCCCTGGCCCAAGTTTTGTTTATTTGTTTGTTTTTGGTACTGGGGATCGAACTTGGGTCCTTGCGCTTGCACATCAGGTGGTGAAACCACTGAGCTAAATTCCAGGCCTGTGTTGAATTTTTAATTTTAATTTTTTTTTTTTTTTTGGTGCCAGGGATCGAACTTGGGTCCTTGCGCTTATGAGGCAGGTGGTGGAACCACTGAGCTAAATCCCCGTGCTCTACTTCTTTTTCTGTATAATGGATTCAAATTTATCTCACTAGAGCTGGGGATTTAGCTCAGTGGCATTGTGCCTGCCTCGCAACCACACAGTCCTGAGTTGGATCCCTGGTACCGCAAAAAAAAAAAAAGTGTCTCACTAGATTATTAAAAAGATCAAATAAAAACATGTACAAGTCTCTGGCACATAGTGAGAACCCACTTTACTTTTCCTCACATAAAGTAGGTGAGTCTTTTAAACAGAAGAAACAATTCAGAGTCATCGATAGCTGAGGTCAGGCTGTTCAGAGAAGGCTCAGTGAGGACAAGTTCAAAATGCAGCCCACACACATAGTTATAACCATCATTCAGCCAGTACCTTCCACATGCCTGGCACACTGCAGTATTACCTGTAATTGTCACAACAACCCTATGCCGTGGATATTCCTAAAGCCATTTTACAGATGAAGAAACCCAGAATCAGAGCCAAAAGGTGAACTGCCCACACGGTCCCAATCACAAGTTAAAGGCAAGATGAGAGCACCTCAAGGTTCAGGCATGAGGAGTGTCCTAGAGGCAGAGAGAAGGGCTCTGGCCTCAAGGAATGGTACTTAGGTTGAGGTACGGAACAGACAAGGGATCAAGATAGAGAACAAGGCCAGAAGGAGGTACTCTAAGGTAAAGCTGGACAAAGAGGATGCCATGAAGCCCTAATGCAGGAAACCCAAATCTAATTGCTGAAATTGGACAGAAGTTCCTTTTTTTTTTTTTTTTAGATAGGGTCTCACTATTAGTTCAGGCTGGCCTTGAACTTACTATGTAACCTAGACTGACCTTGAACTCACAGCAATCCTCCTACCTCAGCCTCCTAAGTGCTAAGATTACAGGCATGCACCTAGACAAAAGTAGTTCTTACACGGGTTTACTAATCTATTTGCTCTGGAGACCTAAAGAACAGAATGGGGGAGAATTCAAAGTCAAGAAAAGTTTTTGGGTTAAATTCCCAAGCCTTTTATTTTTTTAAATTTTGTGTCAGGGTCTCACTAAATCACTAAGTTGCCCAGGCTGGGTTCAAACTTGTGATCCCTCAGCCACCTAGAGTGTGCCATGATGCCCAGCTATGAAAAGTAGTTTTTAGAATAGGATACTTTCCCTCCAAACTTGAGTCCCCCAAGAGTGAGTCTGTAATGTACGTCTCTGGGTCCCCCACCATTGCCCAGTGGCTGTCACAGAGAGGGCCTAGGCCAGTGATATCGAACCTTTTAGGGCTTTCAGTGACACGAGCAGCTCGGTGTGGCACGTATGCTATAGGTTCACCACCACTGGCCTAGCTGAGTACATGAACAAGACTGCATATAAAAGAGCTCTGGCAAACTAACACATTCAAAACTCTTCCCCATTCTGCAGAGTGGCAGTTGACAGCTACTTTGTGTTAACAGTATATAGCGACTGAGGGAATCAGGTGTCAACATTGAATCCTTGCTCTGACGTTTAGTAGCTATTGGCATAGGTAACACTCCTCTGTTTTCCATTGGTAAAGTGAGGATGCTGATAGTGTCTACTTCATAAGATTTTTAAATGAAGATTAAATGAGAAAACACATAAAAAGAATAGTGCCTGGGACATGATGGCTGCTCAGAATGCATTAACCTTGGACACGATGAGTGCTCAGAATGTGTTCATCTTTGCTGTGAGGATTTAATGGGATGGATGTGATGGTATCCGTGTCTAGCTCAGAAGTCCTCTCCCTCCCAGAAGATCTGCAACCCGCCAAAATGCCAACAGGAGGGAGTTTTGGTCCCCTTACCCTCCTTTGATGGGGTAGGATGGTCTTTGCAGAGTGATCCAGGGTCCCCCTTTATGAGTTAGTCGGAGTGAGGGTGGGGAGGCAAGCCCTGGGAGCTGGTTTCAGGGGATCAACTCTCACTGTAGGGAACCCAAGGCTAGGTGGGACCCGAGAGCCTTTGTTGCACGGGACAGGGCGCCCTCTCCTGATAAAAGATGGGAACAGCCGGGAGTTTGTGGAGTGGGCCTCACAGGATCCCACTTCTGGCAGGGTGCCCTTCCCTTTGCTGAAATGCCCCATCCCACTCTGAGGTGCAAAGTTTGAAGGAGGGGCGCCGAGGCTGGGACAAAGCTGGCTTAATACTTCAGAGGGCGAGGCTGGATAATTCGGTTAGAATAAGGGTGCAGGACAGGGGAAACGGGTCAGGGAATAAGAGAAATGAGGGCCCTGTTGAATTAATTTTGTGTTCTTTCAACAGGCGATGGACCGCAGCGGAGCGATAAGGTGACTAGGTGGCTTATCCAACATGTCAAACCCAGGTGTCCAGTCTCTTCCGGCTGGCCTCAGGCAGCCAGAATGAATGGGGCAGAACAGGGCCGGAGAGATCCGGTTTGAGGAGACTGCAGATTAGGGGGGGCGCCTGGGGCTGGGGTCCCTCGCAGTGGGGAGGAGCCAGCAGTGGGCGAGGGCCCAGTTTCCTCCTTAAGTTCCGCCCCGAACGCACCGGCCCCGCCCCGCGCTGTTCCTGCTCTCGTCCACCCCCCGCCGCTCGCCCCCGGCCGGGCCCGGGCGCCCCGGGGTCTCCCGGCTCCGGGCCCGCGCCCGTGCGGCCTCCTCGCCACTACCGCTTGGGTGAGTACCAGGACTCCCGTTCGGGTCGAGGAGCAGCCTTACGCGGGGGAGCTCGGCCTCGCGGTCCTGGACCGGCCCCGGGCTCTCGGTCTCGGTGCCTGCCCTCCACACTTTTCCCAGAACTGCTGCCATGTGGACGCTCTGAGCTGGCCTTCTCCCTTCCGTCCCCGACATGGGACTAGGTGTGCAGGGATTAAACTCTCCCTTCTGTACTCTGCAGGGCTTCCCGGTCAGGATTCACCCCAGCTGAGGCGATGAAGGCCCGGGGGAGCCTTGGAACCTCATAGACTTATTTCACATCCCAGCCCTGCCAGTTATTGGCCTGTGATTTTTGAGTAAGTGCTTTTAACCATTCTAACCCTCAGTTTCCTCTTCTGTAAGAAGGAAACATAGACTATAGTGCCTACTTAACAGATTATAGTTAAGAGACAACGTATATCTACTGCTGAGCAGGATGCCTACTGTGTAGCAGACACAGCAAATGTGGTTTCTTTCTTCCTTCCTTCCTTCCTTCCTTCCTTCCTTCCTTCCTTCCTTCCTTCCTTTCTTTCTTTCTGGTACCAGGGATCGAACTCGGGACCTTTCGCTTATGTGGCAGGCAGTGGAACCTCTGAGCTAAATCCCTAGCCCAGCAAATGTAGTTTCTGATGGTGGGAGGGGTGATGGTGGGAAGATCTCTAGGAACTTTGAAGTTGAGGTAGGGATGCTCCTAAGAAAGCCATGTTCAGCTAAGTAGTACCTAAGAGGAAATTAAAGCTGTGTGGAGCTGAACAGGCAGGTCGTGTCTCTACATCCTGGGGTGTAGAGAGGCCTTAGAAGTAGTCTAAACCTAAACCATATGATCTCCCTGTTGCACATCTATGGCAGCACACCCAGAGTGTGTAGTGACTTGTCCAAAGTCACATAGCTAAAAGAGGGCCACGCATACCTCCAAGAAGTGTAACTGATTGTCCTTCATTGTTCTGTTTTTTGTTTGTTTGTTTCTGAGACTGTCACATGAACTACCACTTCACCCCCATCCCTGAGACAGGGGCTTTTCATTCCCTGAATCCCTAGTGTCTCCTGAGGGATCTGGAGCAGCTGGCTTCAGGGAGAAATGTTGGAAGGGGAGGACTAGATCTACTCCAACGATAGAGTCTGAGTTTGGACTGGTGGGGAAGGTGCTCCTCATGTAGAGAGAGTCCTAAGGGATTTAGGGTCCATTTAGGGATGATCCACGGAATGTGTTGGGCATCATCACCACTTCCAACTCCAAAAATTCCCTGGGGGATCGCTGACACCCGCCCCCCCCCCCAAATTAGGACAGGTTGCCTGATTGAGCCTAGCAGAGAGGCGGTGGGGAAAGTAGATGAGAATGCCAAGGCATATCCACCTGGCTTGTTCTGGAATGCCAGGACACCAGTAAAACTGAGGTCAGAGTTCTTGAGGAAGGGACTAAAGAGGAGAGTTCTGAGGGTGGGGCCAGAAAGACTTAGGACTTGATTTCATAATGCCTCTGAGACCAGCAGAACAGGTTCTTTATGTGGACCCAGCGAGATCTTGGCACTGAGAAGCCCAAGTTCTGTGTTTGGCTTTCCCTTAGGCTCAGCTTTGAGGAAGGGCCTTTCTCCCTTTGCATCTTGGTTTCTTTGTCTTTACAATGGGAACAAGGCTGATTGACTCACTTCTGTAAGATTTGGTTTTCCTTTCCTTTCTCCCCTGGATAGGTACCCCTTCTCCCTCCCTCTCCCAGTCCTAATCTAATCTTATTGCCAGACCTCTGACCCCGAGGGGAAGGAAGGGCTAAAGGAGAGCCAGAGTTGCAGTGTGAAACCCTTTGTAGGCTCCACATCTCCCTACTGGTAACTTTTCCATCTATTTGCCTTATGACCCTGAGTGGACTCCTGCCTCAACTTCTCTTTCTATACATTGAAGGGAGGACCGGGGATTTAGCTCAGTGGTTCTGTTGCCTGCCTCGAAAGCACAAGGACTTGAGTTTGATCCCCAGTACCAAAAACAAACAAACAAAAAAACCAAAAAAACCCCCAGACATCCTATACATTGAAGGGAGCTGGGTTAGGATTGTTGGTGTATACTAGTATAGTTCCTGACCTTAGGATAACCCTCATCTGAAGGAGAAATTACTGTCCTCAAGAGCTCTCACCTGGTCTCAGGAGGGGGTGGGTGGACAGGCCCGTGGGCACGGGGAAGCCTCCAGAAGCTGACCAAGCAGCTCTCTCCTGAAAACAGCAAGCCCAAGCTAGTGCCAGGCCTGATTCTGCAAAGCCTTTCACCCTCTGACACATGAAGCAGCAGGGGGGTGATGCAGGGGGTCGAGGTTCTGCCAGGTTCCATGGAGTCCCTGCTGCTGTGGACTACTGGGCCTGCACAAAGCTTGGGAAGGGACTAGAGGTGCAGGAGGGGGCCCTAAGTTGGTGGGTAAAACTATGGGAGCTGATAAGAGGTCCTAAGCCTGGGGTTTGAGTCTGAGGCTCAGAAGCTTTGGGGAGGTGATGGGCCATCTCCCCTCTAGTTGGTTCTTAAAATAATGAGAGACTAGATAAACTAGCACCTGTAGTCCTGGGCCTCTCAAGCCAGGCAGAAGCCTGAGTTCTCCCAATCTAGATATTCAGGCTTTATCCTAGCACAGATTGGGTTCATTGTCTTCCCTTTGAAATGGCAGTGTTGCCTTGGGATTCTGAGTCAGTCTCCCTCATCCAGGGCAGTAGTTGTCCAAGTTTAGGAGACTTTCTTCTCAGACTCTCTATGCCATAGCACGGCTAAGTTTAGAACTGAGCTGACTTTGCCACTCAGTCCCAGTGCTGCTGCCTGGGGCCCTGACAGCATGTCACTCCATCCTCAGGTCTGACAAGATGTACCAGGTCTCACTGCCGTTGGACCGGGATGGGACCCTGGTCCGGCTCCGCTTCACCTTGGTGGCCCTGGTCACAGTCTGCTGTCCACTTGTCGCATTCTTCTTCTGCATCCTCTGGTCCCTGCTCTTCCACTTCAAGGAGACAACGGCCACACACTGTGGGGTAGGGCTTGGGAGCACTGATACCTCATATTCAGGCCCTTTTTGGATCTTAATTCTACTTTAACAGGAGTAGCGAGCTCTCCAGTGGTATCAATCAAACACATTGGGCTACTTGGGGGTGAATGAAAATTGAGGTTTTAAGAATCAGTCTCTTTCCACCTTCTATGAGAGTTCAAGGGGCTGGGGCGACTGAGACTGGGTAGCCCCCAAATTCAGAACCCAATCATTACTTCATAGAGAGCAGATTCAGGAGCCCCAGGGTTTTCTGGAGAATGAAGAGAAGGCTAGAGGGCATTTTGGGTCCTGTAGTATAGCACTGTGGGCTTGTGTCTGTCACTATGGGAAAGAGAGAGAGAGAGAATGTGAGAGAGAGAGATTAATTGATTGATTGTGGGGGCTGACTATTTAAAATGGCTCTGAGTAGGGCATGTGCATGAGAGAAACTATTTACCTATTTGTTGGGGGCCTGATTATGTGCATGTGTATGTGTTCTGGAGTGGGTCCCATGCCATCTGAGGTTCTGTAGATGGCCATTCACTCTCTGGAGAGGGATATGGGGGTACCATAAAGAAAGATGTGAGAGTTCTTTCTCTGTAGGATATCAGAGTAAATGAGATGAGACCTGTGTCGACTGATGTTATACTCCTAGTTGCTGTTATACTCCATTGACTCTGTATTACCTCCAACCCAGAAACTGAGTTTTACTTACCCATGTCATGTCTAAAAGGTTGAGGTTGAGCTGGGTATGGTAGCACATGCCTATAATCCTAGTACTCAGGAGGTTGAGGAAGGAGGATCACAAGTTTGAGCCCAGCCTAGGCAACTTAGTGACTTAGATCCTGTCTCAAAATGAAAAATAAAAATTGTTGAGGATAGAGCTCAATGCAAAGGCTCTGAGTCCAACAAAAAGGAAAAAAAAAGTGAAGTTGATGATTCCTGCCCAGTTCCCTTCCAGGGCTACCACAGAGCTCCAGGTAGAAGAAGTGTAGGAAAGTGGTTTGGGGAATATGAAGGGTGAAGAGCAGGACAAGGAAGAGAAGAAATTGTCGGGTTGGAAGGCAGGGGAGGAGATGAAGTTAGGCTGGGGGCTGTAGGTAGAAAAGAGGCAGAACCTGGACATAGGTCCTTGGGCCCCAGCTTCAGAGAGAGTTCTGAAGGTCCTGCAGCCAACTTCCTTTGTAGGAAACTCTCCAACTTCCTGTATGGGCATCTGCTTCAGAGAAAGGGCTAGGACTAACAGAGTGGTCTGGCTAGGGGTTTAGGGTGGAGGCCCACTTCTTTTGTTCCTATGACTTGAAGTTTCCCCTCCTGATTTGTCCATGGGTAGACATGAGCCTTGAGTTATGGGCACCTGTCTGATATCTCAGACTGGAAGCGACAGAAAGGAACAGTACTGGAAGAAAAAGGAGTGACCAGGTGATCTGAGGAGATGTAATGCTTACCTCAGATAATACATCAAATATTTCCATTACTCTGGACAACTGCTCATCCTGCAAAACCTTCCCAAGGTATCTCCTCCCCCCAAAAGCTTCCCCCTGCCTTCTTGGGGCAAACTTAGTCACTCCCTCCTCTGGGTGCCTTCAGTTCCCTGTGTCTGTCTGTCCCTCTGCCTGCCTGCCTTCCTACCTGCCTGCCTGCCTGCCTTTTTCTCTCTCTCCCTCCCTCTCTCCCTCCCCCTCTCATTCTCTCTTTCTTTCTCTCTTCCTTCCTACCTTCCTTCCTTCCTACCTTCCTTCCTTCCGTACTTCTGTCCTTTCGTCCTTCCGTGGTATTGGGACTTAAATCCAGGATCTTCACACTGAGCTATATCCCCAGCCCTTTTTTTTGAGACAGTCTCACTTATCTATCTCTCATATTTCTGTCATATCATACCAGTACTTGTATCTTTCTTGCCCATCGACTAGGATCTCCTTGAGGGTAGGCACTCTATCAGTCAGAAAGCATTTGTTGAGTAATTGAAAACCCATCCCCTTCCCTCATCCCTCAGCCCAGTGCCCTAGGGAAAGGAAGGTGTGGTCTAAAGTAGTTGTAGTCAAAACAAGTTACATTATTTGTATAGCAAAAGCCAAGCCCTGAGGGCTGATGGGATCAATACCCTCAGCATACTTTGAACACCCATACCTACCTTTGGTATATCAACTAGGTAATAAAGACGTGGGAGTTGCTGGAGGGGTACTAGGCCTAGTGACCATGGGAGTATTTTATTCCTACCCTCCTGTTGGATCCAACTGGGGCTTTTCATATATGGTTTGGATTTCCCATCTAGAATATTTCAGGAATGGCCAACCCTAGGAATGAAAGAAGCAACCTAGTCCAGCACATCAGTAATTGATGACTTTCTGTCTGCTTGCACATGCCTAGTCATGGGGAGTTTCTTTCCTCTTCAGGTAACCTATTCTAAGGCAGCTTACTAGTAACATTTAGCAAGCTCTTTCTTGTGGTGAGCATAGATTTTCTTTCTGGTGATTTCTGCTGTGTACCTGGCACTGCTTTCATAGCCATAGAGCTACTTTCTCCTCATATCTGTAGGTCAGCCCTGCAGAGACAAGAAGGCAGTAGTGTGGATCCCTGAGTGTGTCTTAGGGAGCATAGCTCTGTTCTCTTCAGGCAACCTTCACAGGACATGGTCTCCTCTTCACCCTGGATGTACCCTTGGACTTGACTCAGTTGGTAACTATTATTTTCTCTGGGCATAGGATTCCAGGTTTTCTGGGCAGTATAGACAAAAGCAGGACTGTTCATTGCTCTTACTGGCAGTTAGACCTCTGCTGATGCTCCTGAACTGCCATTAGCTACAGGTACAGGCTGGACACTTTCTTGATCTCTCTTGGGTCCTGATTCTGTTATCACAGGATTAGTCAGTTCTCCATTGGTTTCAAGATATATACCAGTCCTCCTCCTGTCAAAAAGGGTCCAATCCCATTCTGCTTTCTCCCTTTTCCTTCCTAGAAACTTGCTTGTATTCCTGAACACAACCCTCAGAAAGGTCCCTACCCCCACCTCTGGCAAAGAAACCACAGTGAGCTGACCTCAGCCACTATCTTTTCTTACTGTTGCAGAGTGTTCCAGGATTTATGACATGGCTTGTTGATCTTGAGAAGGCTGTGTGCCTGGGCAGGCGTGGAGAACTGGGCTCTGTGGGCGGGAGGGCAGGAGTTGGGGGTGGGACCCTCCAGGCTTGGAGCAATCTCTGTCTGGCTAGAGCCTTCAACCCAAGCTCCAGATTCTTCAGCATCCAGTGTGAGTGTTACTTAGTGAGACCCCCATCCCTGACAAGGAGCTGGCCCAGCAGACTGGGATCTTCTTAACCGAGGGAAGTGTGAGTCCCAAGGGGAGATTTGGTTCTGGGCCTTTTAATACAAAGCCTTACCTGTCTGTCTCAACTTGCCCCACCAGGGAGCCCAGCTTGTGTAGTCATGGTGGTCTGCAGAATAGAGTTTTGGGGAGGGAGTTCTTTACCAGGAGAGCAAAGGGAGTGGAAGAAGCCTGGTTCCCTGGGTCTGCATCTGACAGAGGCTTCCTGAGTTGGACCAGCCAGCTGGCTGATGCTGAGTGGAGAAAGTCTCCATGACCCTCAGATTCCCCAAAACTTTTCTTTGGGTGACACAGTATTTTCAGCGAGGAAGGAGATGGGAATCTGGGCCTCTACAAGGACCTTGATATTTTGGGTTCAGGGTACTGCTGGCTTAAGGCTTGGCTCATTCAGACCCAGAGGGTGGGTTGGCTGGCAGACTGTGGCCCCACTGAAATGGTTCTAGGACACTCTCACTGTTCCTAGTTGAACTTGGGTGAGGAAGAGGAATGCAGTAGGTCAAGGTCAATAGGAGGGCTCTAGCCAATTTCAGCCAGGGGTCTTTTGCCCAGGTTTCTTGGCTTGACTTAGTCTTTTTTGTTTTTTTTTTTTAATTATTATTATTATTTTTTTTTTGGTTTCTTGACACAGGGTCTTGCTATGTATCTCAGGCTGGCCTTAAAATCACTGTGTAGTCCAGGCTGGCCTCAAACTCTTGTCTATCTTCCTACCTCAGCCTCTGAGAGCTGGGATTGCGGGCATGTGCCAGCTACATTTTTTTTTTTTTTGGTATTGGGGATCGAACTCAGGACCTTGCACTTTTGAGGCAGGCGGTGGAACCACTGAACTAAATCCCGGCCCTACATTTTTATTTTTACTGATACATGTTTGTAGTACATAATGATTACATTCCTTGTGGGGAGTTGGTTCATGTACATAACACATTGTCTTAAATTTTTTTTTTTTTTGTACCAGGAATCGAACTTGAGACCTTGTGCTTTCGAGGCAGGCGGCAGAACCACTGAGCTAAATCCCCTGCTGTTAATTTTTTTTTTTTTTTGGTACTGGGGGTCGAACTCGAGTCCTTGTGCTTGTGCAGCAGGCAGTGAAACCACTGAGCTAAATCCCCAGCCCAATTTTTTTTTTTTTTTACTAGAATCTTAAGCTATTAGGTGGCAAGAGGCCAGTATTTGATCCTGGCATGGTTCTGGGCCTCAGTCTTCCTCTTGTGAGATGAGAATAATACCATTTTCACTTCTGATCCTTCTTCTCATGGCTATCAGGGTTGTAAGAGTGAGGTGAGCTGTCGGAGCTCCTATATGCAGGCCCTTGGGAGCTTCTACTGTCCAGGCTCTTCAAGAGGTAGACCTAGAGTGTTAATGTGCCAGGGAATTTCTAAGAGCTATCCTTGCCTGTCTCTGCCACTCCAGTTCTATCTCCTTCTGCCCCTTCTACTTTTCTTCCTCTTCCTCCCCATATGCCCTTTCTACCATTTCTGTTCTTCCTCGTACTCTGAGGAGCTAGTTCTGGTAAAGGCTTCCCTTTCCCAATCTCAAGTATCCCATCAGGCCCCAAGTTGTGTCCCTCGCCCTGCTTAGGCCACTCCCTACAGGATGTTCTCTGCGGCCTCCCAGCCCTTGGACCCCGACAGGACCGTGTTCCGGCTCCGATTTACGACCATGGTCTGTTGGGTCATCACTTTACCCGTGTTTGGCTTCTTCTTCTGCATCATCTGGTCCCTGGTGTTCCACTTTGAGTACACAGTGGCCACTGACTGTGGGGTGAGTGCCAGACTTCCCAGCACCTGGGTTAAGCCTGGATCAGGAGATAGTGGTAAAGCAGGAATCAGAGAGTAGGAGGGAGATAGAAGGTTAGAGAAGGGGAAAGAGCGAGGAGGATGGAGAATAAGGATGAGACTCAGTAGAGTCATAGTCCTTCAAGAGTTGGAAGAAGATTCTAGAAAGTACAACCTAGATAAACTTCTGCTTCCCAGATCAGTCCTAGTTCTTTCCTGAGGGCCGGGGTAGAAGTTCTGTGTTGGGGGCATGTAGCTGAATATGGACTTGCCCTTAGATCTCATTCCTGCAAGAGGCAGTCCTCAGATACAGTCACAACACAGTAAGTTGGGATTCTTGTGGTGATAAACAGGAACACAGGGACAGCAGGGCTCAGGGGAGGCCCTTAACCCAGTGTGGACACAGGGAAAGACTTCCTTCTTAGAGGCAGTGGTGTTGTTGCTGGTGAATGCTGGTGGTGGTGGTGGTAAAGAAAGGTCTTTATGAACATCAGGCTGACAATCTGAATTTTATCATGAGGGGAAGAGAAAGCTTTGGAGAAATTTCAAGCAGGAAAAGGGCCCTGAACAGATCTGATCTTTAGAAGATGATTCCAACTACTGTGTGAAGAACAGATTAAAAGAGTAGGGGCAACAGAGGGCCGGGGATTTAGCTCAATGGCTCCGCTGCCTACCTTGCAAGCACATGGTCCCGAGTTTGATCTCTGGTACCAAAAAAAAAAAAAAGAAAAAAGAAAAAGAAATCCTCAAAAGAGTAGGGGCAAGAGTAGGGAGACCAGGTGGGTGTTAGTGCAGCAGCTTATAGTACTGGATACCAGAGCTGAGATGGGAACTGGGAGGACAGAGAGGAGGGGATGGAGTCCAGAGAGGAATAGCAAGTAGAATTGATGGGAACTGGAATTTTTGTCCAATTGGTAAGAGGTAGGGGGCAGTAAGGAAGACAGAGAAGTCATCTATAATTTGGGGAGACTTTATCCAAGGTCAAAGAAATGATTGCTAATAGCAAAATGTGATACAGGAGTTTTTGAAACTCTTCCTTTATGAGTTTCTCTCTCTCCTTTTTTTTTTTTTTCTGGTACCAGGGATCGAGCTCAGGACCTTGCGCTTGCCAGGCAGGTGCAGCGTCACTGAGCTACAACCCCAGCCCCTCCCTTTATGAGTTTCCCATCTACTGCCCTGACAGGAAGGAATTATCTACTCATCTCTAGTACTTTTAGCTCTATGCTCATGGAGAGGTTTGGGGTGAGCAGGTACTTGTTGCTGGTATAGTTGGTGAGTGGGGAACTTATGTGCTTGGGATGGGGGTGGAAGTAGGGGGTATATGTATCTGAGTGTGGTGTGTGTGTGTGTTACATAAGAGAATCCCTGCTCTTAGAATCCTACCTCCACTCCTAATATGAGAGGAATTTGTGAAAACCAGCAATCACAGGGCCCTAATCCCCACCCCTCCCTCCTCCAACTCCATATTTTATCTACTTAATCATCAGTCAGGGTTCAGTGCCCTTGAATGCTTCAAGCTGTCCACTTAGGCTTCAGGTACTGGTCCTTTTCCACTTAAATTAATTGAGATTAGGGAGCAGTCTTCATGCTGCCTCTTCATTGATTAATCAGTAAACATCTAAGCTGGTCTGAAGCTGTGGTACCTCAAGCCATGGCTTTGAGAGCAGAGTCTTCCCATTGAGAAGTCTGTAGGTTCCTCTCAGTATTGAGGGGAACCCATCTCTTTTGTGGAGAGTCTGAAGTTCCTTCCTGGCCCTCCATCAGCCCCACCCCTTATAAGTAGTCACCTCCAACGTTGCCCACCTTTTCACCACAAGACTCATTCAACATCTTCTTTGGAAGAAAGGAAGGGACCTTCCAGATCTCCATCTCTAAAGACTATATAGTTAGAGCAGGGTCATTCTCTTGCTGGGCTGCTGGGCTCTGACACTGCCCTGGCCCTTGTTGAGTGTCTAAAAATGTTCACAGAAAGTGTGGGCAGTGGAGTGGTAGCTTCCAGTTTGGGCATCTTTTAAAAATTCAGATTCTCAAAAAAAAAAAAAAAATTCAGATTCTCAGGTTCTAGACCTGTATCTTTGGACAACTACCCAGTGAGTTTTTATGTGTTATTAAAGTTTGCAAAGTACTGCTGTATGCCTGGGAATCTAAACGATCCTCCTCCCATGTTAGGCTTTCCTGTTCCCATCTTAACTATTCATCACCCATCCTCTCAGCTTTCATACCTCTCAACACTACTCCTTGTAGCTGTGTAAGTACTACCTCCTCCTTCTTCCTCAACCTGAAGGAGTGAAGTTGCAGTTCCTTCAGGAATGAGGAGTTCCAGGCACTAAGATGGAAAGGAGAAATGCATAAGAACAGGGTCATTTTTCTCAGACCAGGTTGGAAGCACCCACTTTCTTCAACACAAACAGGGTAGGGGTGCCTTTCTGGCCTACCTCACAGAAACCTCAACCACCTTGGTGCCCCTGCCCAGAGGAATGAGTGGAGCTGGGAGCAGTGACAGGGAACAGCTCAGCTGGGCAGCACTTTTCAAAAGGTTAAATTGTCAGTAACTCATCTCTCCTCAGGACTGAATCTGGAGTTCTAGATTACTGAGATTCCCATAGGGTCTTATCTGAGGCGTAGCTCTGCGCTACAGGGATAGGGGACATTCTAACCTATCTACACAACCTGGCCAAAAGCACTGGTTCCACTTTGAGGGGAGATGGAGAAGGCTCACTCTACCCCTGCAGGAATTCCAGCAGGGAAATGAGAACTGCACACACTGAGCCCAGGACCTGGAAAGGGAAGGCTCCTGCGAGGGCTGGGGTTGGGGGGTGCCCGTGAAGAGGACATCCCGGAAGGGGAGGGCCTGTGACTCACCTGGGGGGGAGGTTCTCCTGGTGGGTGGGGCTGGAGGCCTTCACCCAGATGTGGGCCCAACTCTTTAGGTACCCAACTATCTGCCTTCGGTGAGCTCGGCCATTGGTGGGGAGGTGCCTCAGCGTTATGTGTGGCGCTTCTGCATCGGCCTGCACTCAGCGCCCCGCTTCATGGTGGCCTTCGCCTACTGGAACCACTACCTCAGTTGCGCCTCCCCATGTCCTGGCTACCACCTGCTCTGCCGTCTCAACTTCAGCCTCAACGTCATTGAGAACCTCGCGCTGCTAGTGCTCACCTATGTCTCCTCCTCCGAGGACTTCAGTGGGTGCCCAGATGAGGGATGGGTGGAGAAGGGCTCCTCGGGAAGGGGACAGACTGCCCCTTCCTGCACACAGACCTTCCTGCCAGGGGGTGAGGGCGCTTCCAGCTATGCGCACACCATACTCTCTCCCTCCAGCCATCCATGAGAATGCTTTCATTGTGTTCATCGCAGCATCGCTCAGTCACATGCTCTTCACCTGCATTCTCTGGCGGCTGACCAAGAAGCACACAGTAAGTCAGGAGGTACGGTCTAATCCTACAGGGCGCCAGAAGAAAATCAAAGACATCTGTCCTCAGGATGTGGGTAACGATGAGGTGGGAAATGATGAGGTGGGAACTGGAGGGTTTTTTGTTTTGTTTTGTTTTTGTTTTGAGAGGATCTTGCCCTCAGATTCAGAACTTACTATGAACTTAATATGTAGCCCAGGCTGCCTCAGCTTCCTGAGCATTGGGGTTACATGCATGTGCCATCTCCCCCTGCTAGAACTGTAGTTTTAATAGGAACTCTGGCAGAAGGGTACAGTATTGGGGTTGGAGCTGAGGCTTAGGGTCAAGTAGAGGGTAGTTACCAAAATCTAGAACCACGTGTAGGTAATACAGGAGATGACAGTTTAGAGATGGAGGCTCCAAATGGGGGTTTAATGAGTGTTAGTAGCCGGGCCCCAGTAGGTTAGAACACTTTGTCAGGGGATTGGGGTCTAATAATTCCAGTGACCCATCAGCATCCATTGCCTTTCCTTACCCCACAGTACCTGGAGGTGTTGAGTTGGTGGGTGACCATGTAACTTTCACACTCTATCCCCCTGAAATTGGAGGGGCAGGGATCTTGGCGCTATCAGTTCCCAAATGCAGGGATATGACCTGCTCATCATTCCTGCTGCCCGTTGGTACCAGCTTCTGTGATTACTGTGGGAGCCAAGGGAGGGAAAGCCCTGCCCTTAGGAGTTGTGACAAGAGGGAATGCTGCCTATGCACACTGTACAAGCTGCAGAGTGATCAGATAGCCCATTCCCTAGGATCGCAAGTCCTACAGCTGGAAACAGCGGCTCTTCATCATCAACTTCATCGCCTTCTTCTCAGCTCTGGCTGTCTACTTTCGGCACAACATGTATTGTGAGGCTGGAGGTGAGGCCAGGCTAGGATCTATAGATGGTCATAAGTGACTATGGGGTAGTTGTGATGTCTTGGATAGTGGGCAGTGGTCTTGGGCTCTGGTTGCCATTGTGTTTCTTCTGGTGGGCTAATAGTATGATGATTTAAGGGGCTTGTAAAAGGAGTTATTGGAGGTTCATCATACCCTGTTCCTTGTGTCCTGACAACAGTTTACACCATCTTTGCCATCCTGGAGTACACCGTTGTCCTAACCAACATGGCGTTCCACATGACAGCCTGGTGGGACTTTGGGAACAAAGAGCTGCTCATAACCTCTCAGCCTGAAGAAAAGCGATTCTAAACCCCTCTGCTGCTAGAAGAGAGCCCACTGTGCAGAAATAAGAAACAACTCTGGCCTTCCCCATCCTGTTGTTTCCTCTCTAGGCCCTTTCAAAGCTGGGGGAGGAAGAAGGGCAGAAGGGGATAGGACAAGGCTGACCCCAGCACCGCTGGTTTCTTTTCCTCAACCCCTTCAGAGGCAGAAGGGCCTTCAAGTAACATCACCCTTAACTGAGAGGCCCAAGAAGCTAAATGACAGAAGAGCTCCACCACTTGGTGCTAAAACAAAGTCCCAGGGTTTATGACAACCATGCAGTTTCTGGCCTTTATACACCCACCTTTCCCAGAGGTCAAGGACTGCTGAGCAGTGTCTGTTAGCTGAAAACCACAGCCATCTCTCTCTAGGTCACTCACCTAACTTGTCTAATGACCCGTGGTGCACACCCAGGCCTGTGTCCATAGTCCTGTTAAGATTGCCCAGGTGTTCTCAGTGTGTCCAAATACATGATTTCCAAGGGCTCTGCAGCATGGCTCTCATCTCATCTGATGGAGGTGGGGTCTGTACCTGAAGGATGACCTGTCCCAGAAAAAGCACCATCATGGCATGTGTTTCTCTTCATTTCTGAAATCACTGGCTTACAGACCCTGGGGTAGAGGGCTCACAGACATAGTTCCCTAGACTAAAATGGGCTCCTTGGTGTCCCTCCATTTTCCCTAGTACCCCAAACCCTGAGCTCTTTTGGTTGTACATTTTATTTCAAATAAAAATAAATTTTTGTTTTTCACCAGTATTCTGGGTTAGGCTTGGTAGTCTCAGGATTCATATCCTTGTTTGATAGGAACTGAAATGAGGCATGGGCTCCAGAATGGAGGGAATAAATCCATGGCAGGGTATTATTCCAAAACACACGCACGCACACACACACACACACACACACACACACGGAGCTTTTAGGCTCAGTCTCCTGAAGCTGGTCTAAAACATCCATTTTGATGATCAGGAGTGACAGATGTCCCTGTAATGACTCCAGGCCTGGAAGCCGTGATACCTGGGAGTCTTCAATTGAGAAGCCTGGGTTCCAGCTGCAATTTATGTCAGTGAAGATCTGTCCTGGTGGAGGTGTAAGGAAACAGCTCTCAGAAGGATGACTGACAGCACCTGCCTTCAGGCTGATGGCTCTCAATGTCTCCCTTTCCAAGCCTTACTTAGATCAGGAAGATTTCCCTCAAGCTCTGCATGCTAGTCCACTATAGTATCTGTGGCTATAGAGCTTTGTTAAGGAAATTGGGGGTCGGGAGTGGGGGGACACAATAAAGGCTATTGTTTCCTGTCCCCTCTTAGAAGAAACAAAAAGCTCCCAGTCTCTGGGGAGCCCCAGCCCATGCCCACCCCCTAATGCCCAGCACACAGGGAGGAGCCGGGGCCACTGGAGACAGGAGGTTTTATTGATGCTGATGGGGGGTTGGAAAGGCCCCCAGGAGCATGGGGGCTGAGTCAGTCAGCGAATGCATAAGGCCTGGGCACATGGGGACAGATTAGGGTGCATTTATCTTCTCAGGATTCTGTGGCTCCTTCCTTGGGGAAGGAAGGGAGCATCTTGGGGGGGCAATTCCAAGAGCAGCGAGGGCAGAGGTTAGAGACAGCTGAGAGCCCTTAACCTGAGAGGAGGCACCACAATAGGCAGCAACAACTTTTTGGAAAGCTGGATGAATTGGTCAGTAGCGGAAAATGGGGACAGAGGCATTCAATTCGCCTATTGGGGAGGGTCAGCCTTGGCCTGGGTGAGCTCATGAGAATACCTGGTTTTCCCAAGCAGAGTGTGGTGGGGACCAAAGCCCCTTTTCCCTGTGGGCCTCCTTAAAGAGAAAAAGGCATTCAGGGAGCCCCCTTGGCAAGGGATGCCAGAATTAGTCCATAAGGCACAGCTGGGGGCAGACAAGGCGCCAAGGCACAACTGGTGGGGGGAGGGAAGGGACAGCTTCCAAGCTGAGTGCCAGGGTCACAAGAGGACGCAGGACCGCCCACGCTTGACCGGTGTGGGGTTGAGCACTGCCCGGACAGCCTCAGCGAACACTTCCTTCACGCCATCCTGCTGTAGGGCCGAGCACTCGAGGTAGCGCACAGCATGGATCTGCTTGGCCAGTGCCTGGCCCTGCTGTGGTGTGATGGGCGCCTGGCCCTGCTCCTTGAGGCGCCGTAGGGTGTCAGGCTGGGCTCTCAGGTCCTTCTTGGTGCCCACCAGAAGGATGGGCACATCCGGGCAGTGGTGGCACACCTCTGGATGCCACTTGTGCCTCACATTCTCATAGGAGGGTGGACTGGCAATAGAGAAACAGATGACAAAAACGTTGGTCTGAGGATAGGAGAGTGTGCGGAGGCGGTCATATTCCTCCTGGCCCGCAGTGTCCCACAGGTTCAGGTTCACTGTGCGCCCATCAACTGCACTCTGGGCACTGTAATTGTCGAACACCGTGGGGATGTACTCCTTGGGGAAGGCGTTGGTGGTGTAGCAGATGAGCAGGCACGTCTTGCCCACAGCCCCATCACCCACCACTACACACTTGATGCTCTGCATTGTGGGTGAAGCTGCTGTTGTGGAGGCAGTGCCTCCTCCCTCTTCTGGGCCCTCTGGATGGAATGACCTACAGACAGACAAGGACACTCATAGTTAGGGAGGCTTCTAACTACTGGGAAGAATGGGTAGGAGTATACAGAGAGAAACTGGCTCCTGTTCTATGAACTGACACCACGCCAAATTCCATTAAGACAGACATCAGACAGACAGATACACAATGAAAGGTATTGAGCACCATGTTATAATGATATAGAATAGGTAGTCAGGGACCCTGGAAACTCTGATGCCAGGTTAACTAAAGTCAAATCCTGATTCTGCTGTTTCCTAGCAATGACTCTGAATAAATCACTTAACCTCTCTATGCCTCAATTTTCTTAACTTTAAAGCAGGGACACAGTAATACCTACTTCATTTAGTTATTATAAGACTTACATAGGGGCTGGGGATTTAGCTCAGTGGTTCTGCCACCTGGCTCGCAAGCACAAGGACCCGAGTTCGATCCCCGGCACCAAAAAAAAAAAAAAAAAAAAAAAAAGGCAAGAAAAAAAAAAAAATTTGGGGGCCGGGGAATTAAGTCAAGGGGTCCGGGGCCCGCCTTGCAAACCCAAAGGCCCGGGGTTGAACCCCGGGAACAAAAAAACCCAAAAAAAAAAAAAAAAAATTTGGAACTGGGCAACAAAAAATAACCAATTTTAATTTTCCAAAAGCAAAAAAAAAAAAAAAAAAAAAAAGGGGCCAAATGCAAGGAACCAAAAATTAACCCAAAACCCTTAATAACCCCCCAACAACCTGAACCCCCAACAATAAATCAAAAACCCCAAAAAACAAAAAAAAACCAAGCAAGGGGGGGCAATCCCGGAAGCCCAACAACCCGCAAGCCCCCCAAAGAAGAATGCCGGGAAGTCCAAGCCAACCAAGAACGCAAAATGAAGTTAAAGCCAAGCCGAAACAAAAAAGGAAAACCCCGCCCCCCCCCCGGCCCCCCCCCAAAAAAAAAAAAAAAATAAAAAAAAACCGGGAAAAAACCGGAAAAAAAACAAAAACTGGGAAAAAAGCAAAAAGAACCCCCCCAAGCCGAAGCCAACCCAAAACAAAAAACAAAAACCTAACCCAAAAAACAAAAAAAAAGAACCCAAGAAGGAACCCCAAGGGCAACGGGCCCGCCCGGCAAACAAAAAGGTCCGAAGTCCAACCCCAAGAACGGGGGGGGGGGCAAAACAAGCAAATCAAAGACAGTATGTGTTTGTTTTGGGGATCCCCTGCTGGAAAACAGAAAGGAACTTTGGTGGTGTGGGGACTGCAAAGGACTCAGGGTTTGGTCCCAGCTCTCTGCCAGACAACAGCTTCCCCTGGGACCAGCTTCCTCTATATGGCTGCCTTTCTGGTTCACAGTAACAATATTTCCATCTTACTTGCATGAATAAGTGTATATGTGTTCAACCTCAAGACACTCCGATAGAGACCTTTAGACAATGGATCAGGGAAGTAAATAAGGGCCCCTAAAGGTAGTGGACAGAACCTCAGAGTGGAAGCCCAGGGACTTAAGTTCTAGCCCCAGCTCTGCTGACTTATGTGGCACTCATCCTCTCTGAGTCTCAGTTTCCCTTTCCAGGAAATGGAGTTTTAAAATGCCTATGACAAGGGCACTAGGGAAACGAAGTAAGACTTAAAGAGCTCTGGGGGCAGCTCAGGGAGGCTCTGGCATTTCACAGCACAACTCCAGGGCATATAATTTTCAATTTGGTTTTTTTTTTTTTTTTTTATAATTTTAATCTGTCACTGTATTTTTGTTGTTGTTACCGGGGATCGAACTCGGGACTTTGTGCTTGGGAGGCAGGCAGCGGAACCACTGAGCTAAATCCCCAGCCTTTAATTTGTTTTTTTGAGACAGGGTCTCGCTGCATAATCCAGACTGTCCTTGAACTCACTATGTAGTCCAGGTTGGCCTCAAACTCTTGGTGATCATCCTGCCTCAGCCTCCCAAGTGCTGGGATTACAGGCATGCGCCACCCCGCCTGGCCTGTAATTTTCAATTCTACACAGAGTAGGGAAGCTGGTGTGGGGATGACTGAGAAGTCTCCCCTCAATCCCAGCAATGGGCTTGCGCAGGGAGGAAAGCCAGGGGGAACTGTGGCCAGCAGTCACAAGGCCCAAGAGACTGAAAACACAACTGTTTCTCTAGGGAGGTGGTTATCAACCAGCAATCAGTAAATCAGGCCTCAAGGAGGGGGGCAGCTTCCGGGCTGGCAAGGGAACAGGGACTGACATCGGAAAAAAATTATGAATGAGGCAGTGTCCAAAACAAGGTATGGTAAAAGGCCAAGAGTACCAGATACCTAGTACTGAGCTATTGAGCTCATGTGCTGGTCTTGACCATTAATACAATGCCCTTGCAGCCAGGCATGGTGGTACATGCCTATAATCCCGGCACTTGGGAGGTGAGAAAAGAAGATTGCCACCAAGTTCTAGACGAGCTGGGACTACATAGTGAGTTCAAGACCAGCCTGAATTACATAGCAAGACCTTGATTCAAAAAAAAAATTCCTTGCATAGATTGCATAGTACTGTGTCCTTTGATCCTTATAACAATACATTGGTATTATTTCTTTTTTTTTCTTTTTTTGGTACTGGGGATCGAACTCGGGTCCTTGCACTTGCAAGACAGGCGGTGGAACCACTGAGCTAAATCCCCAGCCCAACATTGGTATTATTTCTATTTTACAAATGAGGAAACAAACTCAGAGTAGTTACAGTGACTCAATATTATGCAGCTGGTTAGCAGGAGCCAGGACACAAACCCAGTTTTGTGATCCAAAGTCTCAAGTTTTCCTCAATGCATCAATCATACAGCCTCAAAGCTATTCTTCTTTTTTCTCTTTTTTTCCCCGGTACTGGCAATCAAACTCAGACCTTGTGTTTGCCAGGCAGCACAGCACCACTGAGCTATATCCCCAGCCCTCAAAGCTACTCTTTACCAGTTGTGTGACCCTGAGCAGTAAGTTACTTCCCTTCCTAAAGCCTCAGTTTCTTCATCTGTACAGGAGTGATATTGTAATACTTGCCCTCCCAGCCTAACAGGGCTGCATCTGGGATCATAAGCATGCGAATGAGTATGCTTTGTAATATGTGATGTACTGTGCACGCAGGAAGTTATAGGAGCAAAGCCATTCGTCCCGAGAGGCAGGAAGAAGCATCAACGATGTTTGAGTGGTGGC